TGAATGTGCAGATCCCGGAAGCAAAAAAGAGCCAAGATGTACAAGTTGTACAACATCCACGGCGTGGCAAGGACGAGGCCACGACATGGAAACCTGGAGTTAAAAAAAATACGACTCCATATCATCCACCTCTTCCATATCTAAGTCGGGCTAAGCAAGATAAACAAATAGAGGATTATAAGAAATTCTTGGAACACATCAATGCATTACAAATTAATATTACATTCATTGAATTTGTTGCTCAAATGCCTAAGTATTCTAAGTTCTTGAAGGATCTTCTAACAAACTATAAGCAGATGGGAGAAGTTGCAAATTCTAGGTTGAATGAAAATTTCTCAACCGCTATGCTCAACAATTTGCCAATGAAATGGGGGATCCGGGAAGTTTGACACTTTCTTGCCAATTCGGGAACCTAGAAACAAGTCATGCTCTACCCGATTCGGGGGCTAGTGTAAATTTAATTCCCTATTCTTTCTATAAGAAGATGAATCTTCCAGAGCCAAGACCAATATGCATGGCTATTCATCTTGCCAAAAAGACGGTGACATTCCCGCAAGGTATATGTAAACATATTTTGGTTAAAATTGATAAATATGTTTTTCCCGCATATTTCATAATTCTTGACATGGAGGATGACAATCAAGTTACTATAATTCTTGGGAGGCCATTTCTTAGCACCACACGCGCACTCGTGGACATTAGAGAATCAAAACTGAATCTTTGAGTGAGAGAAGATGTTATAACTTGTGGAATTGATAAAGTGACGAAACACTCGTAGACTACCAATGATATGGTGTTTTCGGTTGACACCTTTGAAGCATTCATGGAGAACGAGTTGCAACAATGGATGAAGAATGATGAAGATGGGTACATGACTTTAAAGGAGGAAAATTTTGATGTTGAACATGGTATTGAAGATAGAGCTCAAAGGGTTATTGGAAGAAAGCGATTATTTTGAGAAAAAGAAACTCACATAACAGGACCCACGATGTGGCCCAATAGTAGTCATGACGTTGCACACAAAAGAATCGTGATCAAATGGGTTTTCAAAGATCCCTACGACGTGGAAATCAGAGGCCCACGCTGTGGCCACTGAACAGAGCCCAAAAAAAAATTCTTTTTCCCTCAATCCTTTACCTGATCATCTGGAGTACGCTTTCCTAGAAGACAATGAACAAAAACTTGTAATCATAACATCTGATTTGAAGCCCGAAGAGAAAGCAAGCTTGGTGAAGGTTTTGAAGAAATGAAAGAAAGTGATTGCTTGGACGATTTCCGATATCAAAGGGATAAGCCCTTCATATTGCTTGCACAAAATCATTCTATAAGAAAGGTTCAAACCTATAGTTTAGCCACAACAAAGACTCAACTCAAACATGCAGAAAGTGGTAAAGAAAGAAGTGATGAATTTGCCCGATTTCATAATTATTTATTCCATTTCGGATAGTCAATAGGTGAGTCTGGTTCATGTGGTGCCAAAGAAAGGAGGGATGACAATTGTGAAAAATGAAAAGAACGAGCTCATACCTACTAGGGTGGTAACCGTTTGGCAAGTGTGCATCGATTATCGCAAGTTAAATAATGCCACTTGCAAGGACTACTTTCCTTTACCGTTTATTGATCAACTGCTTGAACGCTTATCCGGTCATCTTTTCTATTGTTATTTAGATGGTTTTTTAGGTTACTTCCAGATTCCGATCGATCCAAGAGACCAAGACCACATTCACGCGCCCAAGTGGTACTTTTGCTTATCGACACATGCCATATGGATTGTGCAATGCACCAACCACCTTTCAATGATGCATGATGCCTATCTTTCATGACATGGTGGAAAAGTTCATGGAAGTCTTCATGGACGACTTTTCGTTTTTTGTTCATTCATTTGAAAATTGTCTTTCTAAGCTCTGTATATATGATTACTAGGTGTGAAGAGACCGATTTTGTTCTTAATTGGGAAAAATGTCATTTTATGGTTCGAGAAGGAATTGTTCTCGGTCATAAGGTTTTCAAGGTGGGGATTGAGGTGGATAAAGTAAAGGTTGAAATGATTTCAAAATTTCCACCTCCAACAAATGTCAAGGGGGTGCGGACTTTTTTGGGTCATGCGGGATTTTACCGCCATTTTATAAAAGATTTTTCAAAAAATAACACGACCCTTAACCTAATTCTTTTAAAAGATGTTAATTTCAATTTTTCTGATGAGTGTTGAAAAGCTTTTGACCTGCGTAATGAAAAATTGACCACCGCATCCATCATGATATCCCTGAATTGGAACCTTCCTTTTGAACTAATGTGTGATGGTAGTGACTTTGCGTTAGGAGCCGGTTTAGGACAAAGAGTTGAAAACCGTTTTCAACCTATTTATTATGCTAGCAAAACGCTCAAGAGAACTATACCACTACGGAAAAGAGTTGTTGGTCGTAGTTTATGCATTCGATAAATTTCATCCTTATTTAGTCTTGTCTAAAACAATTGTTTTTACTGACCATTCTGCCTTGAAATTTTTGTTTAGCAAACAGGACGCAAAACCAAGGTTGATTAGATGGGTATTATTACCTCAAGAATTTGACATTGAAATAAGAGACAACAAGGGTTGGAAAAAGTGTGACAGATCATCTCTCAAGATTAGAAAACCCAAAACTTGAGAAGCTACAAGAAGAAGAGATTCAAGAAAATTTTCCCGACGAGTACTTGATGGTCATTTGGGGAGAAGAGCCTTGGTTCTCAGACATAGTGAACTACTTTGCAATCAACTGCCTTCCAAATGGTCTCTCCTATCAACAAAAGAAGAAGTTATTTTCTGAAATAAAGTATTATTTTTGGGACGATCCATACCTTTTTCGAAGTTACGCTGATGGGATTATGAGAAGATGTGTTTCTGGGAAGGAAGCAAGGGACATTCTATTCCATTGTCATAATGGACCCACCGGAGGGAATCATGGAGTGCAATACACGACGAAAAAGATATTTGATGCAGGATTTTATTGGCCGAAAATTTTCAAGGACGCTACAAACTTTGTCAAAGAATGTGATTCGTGCCAACGATCGGGCAACATTTCTTCCCGAAATAAGATTCCCCAAAATAACATCCAAGTTCGTGAAATATTTGATATTTGTGGTATCGATTTTATGGGACCATTTCTGGATTTTTGAGGAAATAAATCCATTCTAGTGGTGGTCGATTATGTTTCAAAATGGGTGGAAGCGCAAGCACTACCTACAAATGATGCGAGTAGTAGTCAAGTTCTCAAAAAGATTATTTTCTCATTTCAGTGTACCAAAGACACTAAGTGATCGGGGAACCCACTTTGAAAATGAACAACTTCGTAAAGTATTACCAAAACATGGTGTACATCATAGGTTTGCAACACCCTACCATCCTCAAACAAGTGGTCAAACTGAAGTCACAGATCGGGCATTAAATAGGATTCTAGAGCGATCGGTCGGGAGCAACAAGAAGGAGTGATCAGAAAAACTTAATGATGCATTATGGTTATTTCGAACCGACTTCAACACACCAATTGGTACTACACCTAATAAGTTAGTTTATGGTAAGAATTATCATTTACCGGTTGAAATCGAACATAAGGCGTATTGGGCTTTGAAGTCATGCAACTTTGAATTGACCGAATTGCGCACCAATTGCCTAATGCAAATGAATGCCTTAGACGAGTTCAGAAACGAGTCATACATAAATTCATTGATGTAAAAAGTCAAAATGAAAAATGGCATGATGTTAGGTTGAAAGGAAATAAGGATTTCAAGTCGGGTCAAAAAGTCTTACTTTCAACTCTAGGATGAAGCTTTTTCCACGTAAATTGAAGACACATTGGTTTGGACCGTTCGTGGTAAAGTAGACTTTCCCTCATGGAGCCATCAAGTTGCACAAAGGATATGAGACAACATTCAAGGTAAATGGTCATCGAGTGAAACATTACGAGGAAGGAATGCCAATGGAAGATATGGAAGTTGAGGTAGTGGACTTGGAGGCACCCGCTACAACGTGGAGCGGGAAGGAGTCTAACTCATGATTCCTCAAAAAGAAGCGCTTACGGGAGGCAACCCATGGTTTGCATTTTTTCCTTTTTCTTTCGGTTTGTTTTTCTTTTCTTTTGCTTTATTTTTCTTGGATTTTTGCTCCTTTGTCATTGTTTTTCATTGTTACTATGAGGGCAAGTAACAAACTAGTGTGGGATGTGGAAAATTTTTGTTTAAAAAATTTAGAATTCGTTTTGATCTATAGTAGCCACGGCGTGGCCTCGATGTCCCATGGTGCAACCCATTTTTTTTACGAAACTATGATTTTTTTCAAGAAAAAACCTTAACCGGTCATTTTCTTTTCATTTTTACCTCCCACGAACAATCTCACACCATTACTTCCTCTCTACAGCTGAAATCTACATTTTTCTTGAAATTCCTTCAACCTTTGTTCAATTCATCCAAAAAGGTTAGAAATTTCTTGTTCTAAACTTTTATTTACTGCATGATTACCTGTTTTGGATGCTAAATTTCGATATTGAAGTCGATTTTTAAAGTTTAAAATTAGGGTTTGAATTTCTTTCGAAATTGGTTCGATTTAGACACTTTTTGGTTGTAATTAGTACTTGATAATCTTGACATAGGCCCCAAACAAAAGACCATTTGAGTGCATTGGTCGATTCGACTGCAGGAAGTTAAAAAATTTGGATTTGTTCTTGCGTCGGGGAGTGGTCTCGATTCCCCATGGCGTAGGCGTTCTACTGAAAAAGAAAAATTTTTTATTTTCTTTTTGTCCTCATGCTTGCTTTGTTTTGGGATGTTTGTTTTGTTGTTTTGTTGCAGGAATGGGACCTAGGAGGCATAATGATGCAGCAAGGGACTTCAATTGGTACAATTTCCCAGAAGTTGTGGCACCAAGCGTGTACATTGAATGGATAAATACGTTAGCATGGTTGCGTATCAAGTACATCGATATCCCCATGTTCTAAATTGGGATTAGATAAAGGTAATTGGACTAGTTGATGTGGATCAGTTGCTCTTCTTGCAAGATGGGGTGCGGTTTACTTGTAATGGGTTTATTCCGTATGCATGAGCTGGTCTATGAGGAGCTTTGTGTGGAGTTCTTCTCAATAGTTAATTTTAGGAAGAAAGATGATGTCACAAATCCTGAAAATTTCACATTCTGTCTTGGAGGGCAAAGGCGGCAAATTCACCTTTGCGAATTCACGTGGCGATTAGACATTTACAACTGTTCTGATGCACTTTCTCTGGAGTTCGTCTTTTTCCTGGAGCATTATCACAAGAGGCTTCCTGAGGGGATCACTAAGTCGGCATATTGGACCGAAATCCCTAATGGGTTGTATATTATAGGGTCCGCACCCAAGAAGAAGATTAGGAAGGTCGTACATCGTTTCATTCACCGATCAATCACATTCTCAAATAACCAAAAGATGGAAGGGGACTGGGTCCTAAAATTGGATGTGTTCTTTCTATGGTGTATCATTACACCAAATAATTTGTGTCACCTTCCTTAGTGTATTGCATATTTCTTAACTGAGCGGGCCGAAAAAAGTTGAGATGGGGCACCTATTTATGGGGGTATGATGGTTACAAAGCTTGCCAAATCATTTGGGATATTTAATTCACCCGAGGCTAGGTTTTTTACTAAAAATAAGGGAAGACCAATTCAAACCCACTTGTTCAAAACCACCAAAATACTTGTAGATTTGGGGAATGATACTTATTCGATATCAGATGACACTCTCATTAAAGAGTTGGGGCGAAGAAATGTGAGACCAAGGAAAGATGGCCAAAAGCCACCTACAGGAGCCCAAACACAACCACAAAACTTTGGTTTTGAGATACCTATGGATCCCTATAATGTTATTTTGAGGCAATATCAAGATTATTTGGGTAGGTATCTCAACTTTGTGGGGTACTCTTTGGAAACAATCATGAACAACATGGAGTTAGGACCACCGGCTGGAGCTCCCACACATTTCACTTATATACCAATTTGGGAGGAGCATTCAGGTGAAGAAAGAAGATGAGTCGGTATGAGCGGGGCTCGAGATGATGAGGAGTGAATTATCCTTGATTTATTTTTATGTTTTTGGCATGTTTAAGACTATTTTTATTTTGTTTGGATGTTTGTAATTTAGGACGTATATAGTATTTATTTGATGTTTTGTTTCGTTTTTATTATGTGTTTTGTGTTTAATTTTCTCACTCATAAGTAAAAATTGTTGGAGAGATAGACGGATGAGAGGAAGCGGATTTTCCGAGAGATGTAGAATTAGAAACGAGAGTAGAGCGACTTGCAAAGAAGAGTGTGATTTTAGAAAGAATCAAATTTTTAGTCCTTATTTATTAAAGAAGATGATTCCCCATTAAAATAGAAGAATATATCACTCCGGAGTCATTTTTATGGTTAAAATACGCATGGGACAGAAGACCAACTTTTCTGATCACCCAGTAACCACGACGTGGGGGCCTATACCACGGCGTGATTGAGAAAAGTTTTTCGATAAGATTCTGCATTTTGGAAGCCCACGACGTGGCTATGCTAGGTCACGATGTGGGGAATCTTGATTAAACAATTTGTTTTCTCGTTAGACCAAAATTTGGAGGAAGTTTTCTTGGTTCATCAGAGTTCATTTAAAGAGAGGTGCAGAAGACTTGCTTTTCCAGTTTTCATGCGAGATGTCAACCACAGAAGCTTCAAGTTCAACCTCGCCACTTCTATCCCATGGGAGTCTGTTCCAATTTCTCCCTTTACTTTTATTGTTAAAGCATGCAGCGAGGACATTACATGTAATAAGTGTGGGGTAAGGGGTTGAACGTAGGAATTTCGAGCATTCTGAAAAGAAAAAAATATCATGAAAAAATGGCTAATTATTAGAAAGATTTGAAATAATAATCTAAAAATTGAACCTAGTTATAAAAATTGTTGTTATATTGAGACCGAGGTTGTTATTATTGTGTGAGATGATCTGATACGAGCCCAAATGTTTACCTAAGCCAATATATGTTATAGTGTATTTGTGGCTTCACATTCCCTAGTGAAAAGTCATGAGATACGAAATATAATCCAGTAGTTTGTATGACGTAATAAGTTTTTCAGTGTCTATCTAAAATCTATCCAGGAGATCTTATGTAGTCATTACACTTAGACTAATACCTCTAACCAATAAAGATTGAAGTTAAGCTCCTTTGCCTAAGCATGTAGTATTTGTGAAAAAAGTTATATATATATATATATATATATGTATATATATATATATATATATATATATATATATGTGTGTGTGTGTGTGTGTATATATATATATATATATATATATATATATATAAGAGAAATTGCAAAATTTGAAAGGAATTTTGGAGCTAGCAAAGTATGAAGATCAAAAGATCAAAAATTCTGAAGAATCAAAAATCAAAGATACCAAAAACCAAACTACAAGGTGTTGAATTCAAAGAAATCGAAAAGCAAATATCAAAGAAGGGATGAATTCAAAGAGCTCCATTGTGGTATCAAAGTTGTAATTCTTTCTAGATCATATGTTTGCTTGGGAAGCTTAATCAAAAATTTCTAGAGGTTAAGAAAGATTTTTGAGGATGGATTCGGAGGGTTGTAAAAATGAGTGTCGTATAAGTTAAATGGTGAATGTTCGTAAGGATTGTGAGTATCTAGGGTTGGGTAGTTTTTAGGAATTATAGACACAAGTACATGCATTGAGGTCGTGGGATAATGGTTGGGTTTAAAATGGATTATCTTATGCGATGTTGGTAGCTAAAGTTTTGATGTGATGATAATAAAATTAGTTTTGCTTGAGGGAAAGAAAAAGACAAGTATGGGGTATTTTGATATGTGCATATTAAGTTATATACTTATGCATTATTTTAATAGTTTTTGCTACATTTATGCTTATTTTAGGACAAATGGTACGTAATTTATTATAAATATGTTTTGTAGCAATAAAAACATGATCTGGATAAAAAAAGGAAGCAAAATGCGGAGTTTGAAGCAAGGAAACCTGAACCTGATCAAAGTAAGGAAACATTTGGCATATACTATGAAGCCCACATCGTGGGGACCTCTGGCCACGTTGTGGTATCTCGAAGATTCACGATCAAGTTGGCAGACTTGGGCTTTATGCGTTTCCATGAACGCCATGTCGTGGAGGCCTTTAGCCACGACGTGGGAGACAGTTTTTTGGTGTATATATATATATATATATATATATATATATATATATATATATATATATATATATATATATATATATATAGCTTGGTCCTGCCTTCAAACAAAACTTATGATTCAAGTAATTCACGACTTTTGGCACCCAAAGAAGCATTAGAAGGCAGAGAATCACGTGAACTCGTCTGGAGTTCACGTTTTGGAGCGATCGAAGGGAATTTTACTTCTAACTCTTTGTTTTTCTTGATTTTCATCATGTCTTTCATTCGTAAATTCAAATTTATTTGATTGATTTTGGTTGTTATGGGTTAAAAAACTCTAACTTCTGTTTAGATGTAGAGGATTTATGCTACTATGTGTCGAATGATTGGATATTTGAATTTTTACTAGTTGTTTATTTGTTCTGATAGCTTGATAAAGAACCTTTTGTGTTAAAGACAACCACTTTTGATGTTTATTGCTGAATATTCTTGAGATTAGATGATCAATCTGTTTTAGGATATTTGAATCTCATAAATTTGTTATCATCAAAGTTATAGGACTAGGGTTTTGATCATAAACCTATGATTAAAAAAAGTTGGTAATTTAATGTGGAAGCTAATATATGATGAGCATTAATATGTTAAATTGATGTTATCATCCATTAATCTCAATTATTAATCAAGCCTAGTTTAAGTCGAACTTAACCCTAATTGTATTGCTTGTTTGTGAGCCTTATCTACTCTAATAAATGAATGTTTTTTGCCACATGTCATCTTCTTCTTGATTTGGACACATGATATTTTCTAAAAATTTTAAATTTTCTATTTTCCACTTGTCATTTCATTGTATTTTTCATTTTATTCAATTAAAATTCCACATTTAATATGTAAGTTAGTATATATGTAAGGTATTTAATAGAAATGGTTTATATATGTAATGTATTGAATACATTAAAGTCTTATTAATTTTAACAATTCATTTTTTCTTTTTTCTTATAAATTCAAAATTTTCAAATTGTTAAAATTATATATATATATATATATATATATATATATATATATATATATATATATATATATTAAAATAAACTAATGTAATACATGAGTCTCACACCTAGCTAACGAATAAATAAACTCGATACTTAGAGGATTAGTCTTTTGATTGTAAATTCTAATCACTTTAGGAATCGGTAAACAACAAATAATCAATTTATAATATTATACAAAAAATCAACCATATGAGTATTAGTGAATCGAGATCTGAAAAGAAGTCTCTTCCAATCCTTGCTTTCCATTTGAATTTTGATTGCTTTTCTGTTTGTTTAAGTGTTGCATAGTTGTGAGAACAAAAATCAATACGTAAAGACAACGTTTGAAAAATCAAACCTTGAGTTAATATTTAAGATCAACATCTACTCTTAATAAGTAGTCACAGTCGAGTCTGGTAAACCAGTCAAGACATGAAGATAAACAATCAACAAAGTATTCAAGTAATAAATGAAGTAAGATTGAGTATAATCAATGCAAAGACAATTTAAGACAAGAAGAATTTAAATGAAAGAAGTTTGACTTGCAAGATATAATAGATTGATGTGAAGAGAATATCGAGTTGTGTTCTTCGTTTTTAACTCATGAAACATTCACTCCTTAAATAGCAAAGGAGGAACTTGGTACACATTGTTGACACATTCTAAGGAGTGGATAAAACTAAGTGTTTGACAATATGAAACTTAAAACATTCACACAATTTAGTCCTATGAACTGTTACATCAAAATAAAGACAAAAAGCATTGATCTTGCTTCGGAACACATCACATCTTGGACACAAGCTGACTTCAAATCTTGATTGATTCGGATTGCTAGAGGTTCAATTGCCATGTATTAACAATCTCCCCTAAGTGAACTTAGCAATTAGTTAACTTAGTTGGTGTCTTCGAATATGAAGAGGCAAGCATTATAAAGCCAACTTCAGACTTCCAAATACCATTTGAGATGATTGATATACTTAATTATTCTGCACATGCTATGGAGCATCAAGCTTGGCAGCATTGGTGATGAACTTTTACAGAATGGTTGAAGGAACGAGATTCTTAAACAATACTTGGAAAATTCTTTCCTATTGGTCTTCTTTCTTAGATAGATGTAGCCAAGCTCTAGTTCTTCAATCGGACCTTCTGCTATAATTAGGGCTTCAGGTAGTTCACAAGAAATTTTCGCCAACACTTTTTCTGTTCCAAACAGGTGTGCGAGCTCGATGTCGAATCTGCATAATTTAGCTACATAATCCTTCAAAAAGTTAATTGCAGCATTATAAGCTCCAATGCTTAATTGATCCGTTTAACAACTTCAGAAATGAGCAACAGTTGTGAGAATATCGTTAGGGTTGATAGATGGAAAATCTGCGTTCGTGATGGTGATGGTGGCTTCTCTTCTCTGAGAAATGTGATATCTGTACAACATGCAATTCAGGTTGAACTTGCTTTGAACCTTGTTTATGAACCTAATAATCTTTGTTATTCGCTTCTGAGACCACACTTCTTTCTGAGGACATGCGTTAACGGAATAGAATGTCTTCAAACTTTCTCACTTAGTTCTGATGATAATCTGAGGATCATCATTTGGATAGAGTGGAGCGAACTTGATGTAGTATTTTCCGAAAGGAGAGATTGGGAGATCGATATGGTCAGAGTCTTGCATAGGCATATCGAAGTACATGAAGGGCACTATGTCTTGATCGTGGATGATCCCTTATCGGAATAGTGGGGATAGGCCCAATATCGGATTTGGATTATCTTTCAATGCTTGAATTTGGATGCTCTCTTTAAGTGCTTGATCTATTTGAGCTTGAGACCAGCCTTTGGACTTT